GCTGGGTGCCACAGGCCTGGTATTGCTGATGCCCGACACTGTCCCCACCTGTGTGTCCAAGTCCTGGGCTCCTGGTTCAGCTGGGCGGAGTGGAGTACCAAGTGCCAAGTGCCTGCCAGGGGCCAGGCCCAGGAGCCAGTTGGTGGGAGGTGGAGAAGTGGTGATGTCCTCAGAGGACTCGGGCCCTGGCTGAGGTGTGGGCTCTCCAGGGAGCTGAGACCACTCCTGGGCCCCTCGGGGGCTGCTTGTGTCAGGAGACCTGGGGAGCAAGGAGAAGAGAGCGTCAGCCTTGGCACACACCTCAGGGCCCGTGGGCTGCTCCCAGGGCCAAACGCCACAGGGGAGACAAGCACTCAGCAGGGACAGTGCCCTGCAAACCCCCCAGCCTGTGTGCCCAGGATGGTAGAGGATGCCAAGGTCCCGTCTGTCTCTGCCCCATGCAGCTTGGCGGGGGGAGTCCAAGCTCCCCCACTGCTCTCCCAAGGCAGCCTTGCAGGCCTGTGTGTACAGCAGCTGCATCACCATAGCACAGGAGGGGATGAAATCTGCCCAGGAGCCTGCACCTCAGCTCTGGACACCAGCATCACCGTCCTGCAGCGTTCTGGGCTTTCGACCTCAGAGTTCCAGAGCATCTGGCCCACCAACACAGTCAGACCCCTTAGGCACAGTGAGGACTGGCCCCCAGGCCCTGCTGCCATGAGTGCTTGCAGTGGGCACTGTCCCTGTGGACTTCAGGGAGACTAGGGACTCACTGGTTCGAAGCCACATTTCCATGGCCACAGCAGAATGTGCAGGGCACCGAGACTCTGTCTCTGCAGGTCCTTGTGCTCAACCAGCCATGGATGGAGAATATTTGGGTTAACTGTGTCTGCACACTGAATACACACATTCTTTTTTATGCCTTTGTCATTGCCCCTTGATGGTGCAGGACGAGGAGTATTGGCAGAGCATCCCCATTGTGTCAGGTACCATAAGTCACAGAGATGACATACAGCTTGTGGGAGGAAGCTCATAGGTTGATCCTTCACCACCCTGCAGGAGGGACAGGAGAATCCCCGGGTCTGACATCCAGGGGCCTGGAACTGAGCCCTGTGGATCCCAGAGAATCCACACCTCTGTTCTGTGCCAGAACACACACAGGGTTCTCACTTGCTGCCCAAAGCAAGGGGCCAGCACTCCTGCTTCCTGTCTTCATCTGGGGACAGTGGGGCCACCAGAACCACCTGGTTGAAGGAGGTGAAGGTGCCAGGCAGACCCCCAGGGGGAGCCCTGGACCTCGTCTTAGGAGCTAGCTCATCCTTTGTCCCAGGACCACTGCAGTGTATGTCAGTTGGCACATCCATGGTCCCTGGGAGTGGGCACCACGGTCCTAGCAGGCTGCAGAGAATGGGAGGTCACTGCCATCCAAACCTCAGGGAAAGCCTTGGTTGCAGGGCCAGTGCCACTCGTGCTGAGCGTGTCAGGTCTTTCTGGAAGTCTGTCAGGGACATGGCTGGACTGGGGGGCGGGCTGTCTGGGGTGTACAGAGAATAACTGAAACTGTACTGATGTGGGAAAACATGCTGGTTTGATTATCAAGAACTTGTCTTTCCTTAAATCTGTCCTGGGGCTGCTCCTCTGTCACCTCTCTGGAGCCATGGCCCTTGCATTTCCTAGACGCGAATGGTGAGGCGGGTCTCAGAGCTGTGTGCTACACACCCGCTTCATCCACCAGCTCCCACCGCCCTGTTGTTCTGACACTCCCCAGCTCAAAAGGTGTCCTAGGCTCCCAACCCCTGGGCCAGTTCCAAGCACTCCCAGAGTCCTTAGGTGACTTCTGTCATGGCGAGGGGCTCTGCCTGGGCAAGGCCACCTCCTCCTCCACCTACTCCTCCTATGGCCTGACTGGCTGTGACCATTCCTCCAGAAGCCACCCCAGTTCTCGAGCCACCTGCACCCCCAGTGTCTGCTTGCTGGAGACAGTGTCCCTGAGGGACAGGCAAGCCAGGGGCTCCTGCACTCATAGCTTGGATGCTGACCACGCCACACCAGAGCCGCCTGTGACCCAGCCACCCCGTGAGGGCCTCCTTAGGCCAGAGCGTCTCCTGTGGCTGCTTCGGACAAGGGCACACACAGGGTACTGTCACATGGTAGCCTTTGGCCTCGAGGTTGTGTGGGCGGAGGTCTGGGCTCAGGCAGGAAGGGGTCCTCCAGGGCTCTCTGAAGTCACCCTGGGAGCTCTGTGGTTTGAAGCTGTGTCCCCAAATGGCCTTCTCCCTGGGTCTGAATCCCTCTGGCTCTTAGCCAGTCTCTCCTTGGGAGCCTTCATGTAATTACATCTGCAGAGACCTAGTTTCCACATGAGTAGCAGGCTCTGGTGGGCATCTTTGGGGGCCACTGTGAGTCCCATCCACATTTTCCTTTTCTCACACCCTGAATGGCTTATATGGTCTCATTGTTCCTGTCCTGAGCTTCTGGCCTTGACTCTGATCTCCAGTTCTTACCCTGTGCCTCTGCCTGGCTCAGCCTAGAGCTGGAGCTTGTACTACCACGTCCCTGTCTTTGAGTCACCCATGGTGCCTTCCGGGTGAGCACCCACCCCTGCCCTCACTCCAGTGGCCCACAAGAGCTTCAAGAGTTACTGATTTGCCTTTAGTCCTGCAGAATTGTAGAACTGCTCATTCACAGAAACCCTGGGAAATGCAGAAGTGTACACACAAAAAAACAAAGACCTGCCCACATCTCCGCATCCAAAGGGGACACTTTGTAAGCAATTACATTCTAACTGCCCTTCCGATTAACACCCTGTGAGGATTGGCTGAGGGCCAGCTCCTCCTCCTGTCTGTGGCAGTGTTCCCTGGTGACCAGAAGTTGGATGATGAGCCTGTCACCAGGGGATGGAATTGGGTGGCCGATGTCCTGAACCTTGGGTGGTGGCCACTTGTGTCCTTCGCTTTGGATGGCTACAGTGGTGGTCACACAGGCCTTAGCATGAGCACTTTGGTCACCAGGCACCAGCACCGGCAGAGTCTGCCCAGATTTGCACCTTTTCTAAGTGGACAGCAGTATTCCGCTGTGGTTCCCTCTTCAGTATTTTCGTGTGTGTGTGTGTGTGTGTGTGTGTGTGTGTGTGTGTGTGTGTGCAGAAGAGAAAAGTAGGATAATTTTCCACCCATGTTTCTAGCCACTCGCACATGGCTCCTATTTTGTCGGTGCACCTGAGGGAGTCATGTCTGTCTTCCTGGGGTGGCTGAGAAGGTGTCTGGTCATTGCAGGCCTGTGTCCAGTGTGGCCCATCTCTTCCCTGTGTTGACACTGCACTGGACATGGTGACATCTTCATATCATGCAGTGAGCATCACTAGTCTTTCTTGAGGCTTTCCCCACTGCGGACACAGTGTCGCTTGATGTGCATGTACTGGTCATCTCCCATTTGGCCTGGATCCACCTGGAATGTCTGTGGCCTGCGGATACACAGGTGGGATGAGGGGACCCTGGGGGTCCCCACAGAGCCTCTTCACTGGGGACAGTTGGTGCCAGCTGCCACTCAGTGGGACCCGCTGCACTGACTTGGGCCCAGCCTGGCTCCCCTCTCCTGGCTTTGCGTGAATCTGGGGTGAGCTGGGTGGTCTTGGGGAGCTTCCTGTGTTTTCTATCCAGGTTGGACATGGTGTCACAGGCTTGTTGACCACCTCCATGTGCTGTCCCTGGGGCCCAGGCCCTGCCCGGGTACTGCTGATTTTGCCGTGTGGTACATGAATCACAGGACACTGTGGCAGATTCAAAGATCCTTGTCCCAATGCCAGGGAGCATCCAGGGTGGCCACAGCAGAGCAGCAAGCACTGTGTCCTTAGCAGTGGGAGCCTGTGCAGTTGCTGGGGGTGCACGCCTCCTGCACCGGTGCTCTCTGTAAGGTGTGACCCAGGACAATACATGCCTGGCATGTGCAGAAGCCCTCCTGGCTGTGAATGATTCTCAGCGCCACCCTGGGTACAGGTGGGCAGCTGGAGGCCACGAAAGCAGATGTGTGGGTGACCCTGGTTCTGTTCTCGAAGTTCCAGGTGTCACTCGCCATCAGCGCGACACCACAGCTTTGCAATCCAGGTCCCACAAGTCTGTCTGTTTCACCGACTTCAGTCCACCATTAGCATCAGTCTGTGTCTAAGGGGCAAGCCAGCGCTGTTACCCGCCTTCTCCACCAGGCCCCCAAACCTCAGCCACACTGGGGCGTCCTCTCCATTCACCTTGGCCTCTTGCTCCTTCCCAGCTATGTGTCTACCCTCTTGCTCCTGGGGGTCCAGGGGAGGGACAGTCACCAGACACACAGTGAGCAACCCCAGGACCCAGCCACTCTGGGGTCAGCTAAGCCCAGAGCTGGGGGTCAGTGGGGTCCAGGTCTGTCTTCTTAGGCTGGCCAGTCACTGAATGTCCCACTCAGCTGGACAGAGAGCCCACCTCGAGTCAGGCTGCATGGGGACAGGCACAGCACAGCTGGCATCCTCCTTCGAAGTATGGGGCAGGGAGGACTAAGAGCCACAGGAAGGGTGGGCTGCACTGGCCAGCAGGGCTGGATGCATGGGGCCATTCATCCTTAGACCTGGAGTCCCCCAGACGAGACCTCGATGTCCACAGAGGCTGCTCAGAGAAGAAAAAGGAAGGAGGGACCAAGGAAGGGAGGGGTTGGCAGAAAAGCTTAGTAGACACTGAGTATCACCCCCAGAAGGCTACCCTCAGCTGTGCTGCCCTCTCTGGGGTGGTAGCGGCCCACTGTCCCGGCCTGGCCAGGTCCAGCGAGGCCCAGAAAGGCAAGTGAGAGGCAGGCTGTGGTAGAAACAGGAGGCACATGGCACTAGGGCACTGGTGGCTGGGTAGGTCCCGGGCCTGTCCCACCATGGTCTGGGTGGGAGGTACCCTGCTTACTGATGCCACTGGCAGGATCATGTCTGCACCCCGACTGGGTCCCTGCTGCGATGACCTCCTCAGTCTCCACGTGCTCCTGGTTCCCATCCTGTCACATTACAGGTCTTGGGACAGCCCACTGGGCCCTGTGACATGAGGAGGCCCTCCAGGCTCCACCTACGGGGTGACCGCCCAGCTGAGCTCTAACCACGGCAAGGGCAACATTCTTACCTCCTCTGTGGGGAGCCCTAGGCTGCGTGAGACCTGGCCAGCCACCTGTCCCGAAGCCCAGGACGACCCACGCCAGCCTGGCCCACATGCACGCGGGCCTCGCCTCCCCTCTCTGACCCTGCAGGTGAGCAGCTCGGCCCTGGCCATCCAGGCCTGAAGCCTCTGCCTAGTGGCCCAGCAGGGTACAAAAAGGAAACAGTCCTAGAACTCAGTGTCCCCCTGACATCAGCTGCCCCTAAGCCCTGTGTCAAACCTGGTCAGGAAGTCCAGCCTGGGGCCCAGCCTTGCTGAAGGTGCTTAGCCACCATGACACCACCTCCCAGGTGGGCAACCATGGGCACCTGTTCATCCTGGGTGCACTGCAGTCTAACCTGTCACTCAGCCAGGGTGGCAATGAGTGTCTCTGCAGAGGCCAGATGTTCCCGAATGCCCTCAGGGCCCAGGGGTCTTCTCCATGCCCAGTGCCAGGAATAGCTCCACTTCCTGGACCCTACTCAGATGGCAGCTGAGCCCCAAACTCACACATTTACAACGAGGGAATGTCGGCCCTCTGATTCTGGCCTTTTTGGGCTATCTCTGGCCTTCCTGCCCTCTGTGGCTACCAGGCCCAGGGTGGACATCCTGGCTTTTAGGAATAGGGTCCTGGGGCACAGCCCCTGCAACACCTCCTGGTATGTTCAGGCTAGGGAGGGCACAGCCCGAGCTCTGGCATGCTGAGAACCCTGTGGGCTGTGTCCTCCACACTTGTGGCTGTTACTTGCACCCGAGAGATCTGTGTACTTGGCCACTGTCACTTGCAGCTTGGCCAACATAAATCTTTCTACAACCTTTTGACAACAGTGCTTGGTGCCACACAGACATGGCTAAGAGGGTGCAGCCTGAGTACTTCCCTGAGCTATGGGTTCTGTGGGATCGTCTCAGTGACTTTGCCGAGGTGGATGACAGTGTTCTCTGTATGTGGATGTTTCAGACACCCGCAGCCCTGTGCATCCCTTGTTAGACACCCCCAGGACCCCAAGGTCAGCTGCACTGAAGCACATGCTGCTCTGCACGAATGCCAGCCAGAGAAGCCCCCACACCCAACAGGACAGGTGAGCATCAAGACAAAGAGGATCTTGTGGTCCTCCTGATCAGTGTGTAGGGTATGTGGGACAGGAAGCACTGTTCCAGGGAGAAATCAAGCAAAGGCAGGAGCCTTAGGGACCTTTGTAGCAGTTGTTGGCTCTGGCCATCCGAGTTCTCTGGGACCAGCTTGTTCTGGGGATGCATAGGCCACTCTGAATGGACTCTGGGTTCACTGCTCCAACAAGGGCTGTACTGATCCTGCCTTGGGGCCCTGTTCTGGGGAGGACAGGGGACACTAGCTGGCTTCACCTGAGTGTGGAGGGACAGGGACCCCCACTCCTCACCCCTGTGCACTCAGCTGACCCCTTCCGGCCTCCCAGGAGGTGGCCAGAATCGGAGGAGGGAAGAGGTACTGCTGACACCTCACTCTGGCCACAGACCATAGCTATGGTACAGGGCTGCACCAGCTTCTCTCAGATGTTGCCCAATGCTCACAAGGACCATGATGGGCAGAAGAGACATCTGATACCAGGCAACATCTTTGCCCTGATAACAGACATTTGCTGATAGAAAAAATGGAGTTAATTCCAGGGCCTTGGGTCATTTCCACAATGTCTACACTCAAGGTGGAGTCTGGAAACATGGTAATGCACACCTGCTTATGGGGCCCCAGTGACCAGGAGAGCATCCGCCAGACAGGTCAGCCATATACTATAAAAGCACTTTCCTGTGTGCTGAGCCTGTGCCATAAGAAATTGGACTTGGAGTCCTTGCAGACTTGGGTTCAGTGGCCTGGGGAACTGTCACTGGTGGACCATCCCAGGGACGATAGGACCCCATCATGCCCCCAGTCCCAGGAGAACTGAGTGGGCTGTGTGAAGGGCTCATAAAGCCTGAGGTCTGTGTGCACACGGATCTGTGCAGGAGCAGCAGTTGTGTTTAGGACACCTCTCTTCCATAATCAGGGGTCTGTCTGCAGTGGGACTTGGCCTAGAACTCAAGGCCCTGAAGCAGGAGGAACACAAGTGGGGGGAGAGAGGCTGATCGACACTGGGCCTCAGACCTGGCTACGTCCTGCGGTCCACACTCACCACAGCCTGGGGATGGCACTGCGCTCAGGTACCTCCAGGTCTCCTGGTGTCAGCACTTTGCCTGCTCCTCCCCCGGCCTCCACACACTTCTTCCTGAGATGCTGCGGGCCCACAGTTGGCCTCCAGCTGGAGCCAGTGGGGAAACAGAGGTAAGCAGAGGCCCCGCTCTGACCCCTGGAATCAGCAGCTCGCCCTAGGGCACAGGGCTCCCCCCAGTCTCCTTGATGCCACCAAGAAAGGCGACTAAGAGACACCACTGGGTAGCCCATTCCCAAGGTTGCGGACCTGAGTTCTAGAGGTTTGCCTGGCCTATTGTGGCTGGGCTGCATGGCCAGGACCAGGATACTGCTACAGCACAGATCTGTGCCCAGGAGCTGCCCGATGGCCAACGCCAGCCCTTGTACACAAAACTGTTCAGAAGATCAGCATGAAAAATACTGCACACTAATCAAAGTGAGGGTGATCTGTCTAGAGAGATGGAGCATGCCGGGAGAAAAAGCTTGCTCGGTGGCTGTGAGAGTCTCCGAGGAAGGCAGCGATGGCTGATGATCTGCCCACGGAATCATCCCTTCACCCATTCAGTCTGCACCAGTCTCCTGTGAGCCCAGCTACCACTCGGGATGCGTGATGGCGAGCCCGGGCCGTAGAAGGGGTTCTCCAGGCACGCAGTGGGCTGAGGCCATGTGTTCAAGACCCCATCCTCCAAATGCCCTCTTGGGCTGCCCTCACTCCACGGCTGTGCTGGGAGTGGGGCTCCCTGCAGATGTCACCTCTCCATAGGCACCGACTGTGCTGTATTCTACTCAGGCCCCTGCTGAGCGCTGGGCTGTGCTCTGTCCCATCTCCAGGCCTGAGGTTGTGATCTGACTTGGAAACAGGCTCTTGCAGGTGTAATCAGGTTAGGGTGCAGTCACAGTGGGTTATGGCGGGCACTTATCCAGCATCTAGTGTCTTTATACGGAGCAAAGATTTGACATAGAGCCAGACCGGAAGCTCAGGTATAGGCGAGAATGATGTAGTCTTAATCAAGGGACGTCTGGAGGCCCAGAAGCTGGAAGAGGCAGAGGGATCCATCTCTGGAGGCTGTGGAGGAAGCGTCCTACCAGAACCACACTTTGGGCCCAGGGTTCTGGGTCCCAGGACTTGAGAGAACAGCTTCTCGTGCTTGAGGCCACTGTGTCTGTGCTGTTATGGTGGCCCCAGGGGACACACAGCTCCACGGAGGGAGCCCTGCTGAAGATGGCTAGGACTCGTGCTGCTGGAGCCTGCACATGGGGCTGGGGCTGCAGGGACCCAGCTGGCCACCCAGCTCAGCCTCCCCTGCCCAGCCTTCTCTGCCCCTCTCCCTAACTCTGGCCACACAGCCTTGCACAGCCTATGGTGTAAGCAGGAGGCACGGCACCCACCCAGCCAGGTAGGGGCACCTGGGAAGCAGGGGCCACCTCAGCACGGGTGGAGAAGGCTGTGCATGGGGAGAGGCAACACTGCAAGCCGCACCTCCCTCAGGGCACTGCTGTCTGCCATCTCACTACCTGTCCTGCCTGGAGCCCGGGCCTCCCCACCTATCTGCTGAACATGACTGTGTGGTTTACTTCTTCAGCAGTTGAGAGGAGTTGTCACTTAGGAAGAGGCACCAGGATTGCACAGGGAGGCCCCTGGAGGGCAGCAAGGAACCCTCAAAGTCTCACTCATTACTTTGTAAGATGAGGTTCAGCTATTACAGTGAAGTACCAGAACCTCAGGTGCATAGCTCCATGGGTCCTGGCATCAGTAGATCCCGAAGCCCCAAGACCAAGGTGGAATATCTCTATCTGTACCCAGATATACACTCCAGGCAGGGCCCTTTGTCTCTCCCCTGCCTGTGACCCTTGGTCCTTGCTGCCCAGCCTCTGCCCCCAAGGGACCCTAACTGTGGCATCTGGAGCCATAGGCCCCTGCATGGTGTGTTCAGCAGATGAGTGGATGGCTCTGGACTGGCCTGGCTGCTCCTGGGGCCCAATATCTGCTCATCCCAGCTTAGAGATGGGGCTGGGAGCCCCCACTATCCCAGCGAGGCTGAAGCTCCTGCATCTTCCTCCAGGGAGGGCACCTGGGGACAGGGCAGGCCCTGCACTGGGGTACATGGCCTGGGCCCTCTAGGCTGAGACTGTGCCCTTGTCACTTAATCTTTCACCCTTCACCCAGCTGGCCCTGTGAGGGGGGGTGGAGAGGCTCTACTAGCCTCAGTGCCACCAGCCGTGGAGGCCCCAGGACCTCCTTAGCATGGAGAGCGGCCTGGCTGGCCCAGCAGCTACTCACAGGAGCCTCAACAAGGGGACAAGGAAGGACACAGCTTTGTAGCCCTGGGTGGCTTCCCTTTCTGTCCCCAGCCCTGAGGCTGCTTTGAAGTTCCGCTTGCTTTGAGGGCACTAATCTTGCTCAGCATGTGGCCCCCTTCTGCCAGCACTGATCCCGAGACTTGGCTGGCATCCAGATGATGACCATGGTGGCCTGGCCAGCAGCAGCAGCAGCAGTAGACTATTGCATTCCTAAGTTCACAGGCAGCTGTGATCAAGGGGATCTGAGAAGACAGAGCTGGCACCAGAGATGCAGCCTGCTACGGCTTCTCACTGCCCTGAAGTCAGGGGCTATCTGAGCTGCAGGGGCATTGGGCTTCTGAAGTCAATCAGGCTGCTTCTCTGGGAGTGGCAGGGCTGAGGCTCATGTAACCTGAAGTCCCAAAGTGGCCTGCACACGTCTTTCTGCTTCTCTTGATGCTGCCAAACACCACCCAGAAAGACTGGCAAATGTGTATTCTCACCAGTACCTGTCGAGAGACCTCCAGAAGGAATTAGATGAAAATAAAGTAAACCACAGTTGGACCAGAAGAGCAGCACCTTGCGGTGACTGCAAACCTTTCTGGCCCAACTTGTTTTGTGTTTAGGAATCTGTTTCACCTTTCACCACCTTTCCCTGGGCACCATACTCTGTCACAGGTGAGAGCCATTTCTTCCATCTGTGCTACACTTACTCTCCCGCTTACCCTGGGTCCACTTAAGTGTTTTTGATTTATGATGGTGGTAAAAGCAGTATACGTTCAGTAGAACACACACTTGGAATTTTTGCTCTGTGCTGCTGGGGATGCCAGGGCACGTTCTGCCCGAGCTACTCCCAGTCTCTGAATTTCCCTGTTTTCCTGGGATCGTCCCCTGCTACTGTGTACTTTCTAGGGCACCAGAGCTCCTAGGCAGCCCAGCGTCACAGGGGAAAAGGCATGCTCCGGTGTGTCATGCTGGAGCGAGGGCGTTTGGGGTCGGGGCATCCAGCGCACTTTCTGCCTAGGGCATCTTCCATTTTCAATGAGAACAGCACCCGGCGCGGAGTCAGATGTGTCAGCTGTTGGTTTCTCAGACTGGGTTTGTGCTCACAGCTTTCTTTCTCTCTTTGACCTGGGTTAAATATTTACCTATGATTCTTCTTCCTTCTCTCCAACTTTCGCTCTTGGGGTCTACTCTGTAATCCCTAGGGAATTTAACTTGGAACACACAGAAGTAAGGCTCCAACTTGTATTTTCACACATACATGGCGAATTTCCCCAGCACTTCTACTGGTCTGAAAAACTCCCAATTTGGAATTCGATTCTTACAAACATCACGGTACATTTCAGAGCCACCTGGTCTGTCTCATTGGTCAGAAAACAACAGCAACAAGAGCAGACATTTGTTGGGTTTTAATTCTGTGCCTAGGACTTTGCTCTGCATGGCCTTTACCTCACTGCAGCAGGAGGAGGACAAGCGGCAGGGGCAGGGCAAGGGCTCAGGCCTGGCTCAGCAGCTCCAACACCCCTGCTGCGGATCACGGGTCTACACCTGAAGGGCCAGAACATGGGTTAGAGTTCTCCTGGACATCCCAGGCTGAATCTGCTCTGGCATAAAATGTCAAGTCATTTGTAAAGTTCCAAAATTTTATTTGAAATTTGAGTAAATACAGAAATTATTTTTTATGGTATTAATGGTGTCCTGTGCTTCATCCTCAACCCTTTCTTAAAATTTTATTTTGAGCCAGGGTCTAAGTTGCCTATGCTGGCCTTGAACTCACAGTCCTTCTGCCTCAGCCTCCTGAGTAGCCGGAATTACAGGTGTGGACCATCATGCTGCCTTAGCAATTAATCTTTGAAGGAAGAGACACCCCCTCACAACATGCAGCCAGTCCCTTTCATGTGCTATGGTGTCTTTTTTATCTATTTCCTTGAGTCTTTTTGAATTTTTCAAGGTAAGTCTTTGCACTTAACAAAAGTGCCAACCACTCCTTACTAATTTCAAGCTATCTTGTGTGTTTTCTACTGTTACTAATAGTGTTCTTTCTCCTTTCTCTAATTTTGTTCATGTATTTTAATTAAACTGGTGCATTTCTAACCCCATCTGCCTGCAATGGCTTCTCTATTTGTGTAGGTGAGTTTCCTTCTAAAGTTGCCTGACGAATCACTGGTTCTCACATCTGACCCCATTAGGACAAGTGACTGTGATTTCCGGCTGCGGGCAGGGAGGGGTGGCGCTACCGAGCTCCTCATGCTGGTCGGCGGCCCTCAGCTCTGCAACGTAGCACCAGGGCACCTGCAGAGGATGCCAGGTGAACAATGGGCAAGGCTGGCCCAGGAGGCTTTGTTTACCAGACAAGCGGCAGGATCCGGATAAAGGCTACGGCTGGCCACGCTCTGTTCCAGAACACAGGCTGTGCGTATCCATGAAAACCTTCAGCGGAACAGGAGGAGACAATTCTCTATACCCATTATTGGCCCAATAAACTCTTTTATTAGTTTTTGAAGCATTTCAGTTGAGTCTCTGGGGCTCTGAGCACCTGTCTGCCTCATCTGTGAGTAATAACAATTTATTTTCTCAGAGCAAATGCTCATGTGACTACATTTTTGAGATCCATCCAGAAAGTGGCCAGCAGCAGTGGTGACCAAAGCACCCTGCACTGGACTGGGCCTCGGGGTGACGATGCATTCATTTCAGATGGACACTGGGTACCAGGTGGAGCTGCCTTAGCCTCTGGGTCAGGTGAGGTCTGCAACTGTTAGTGATGACACCCACTTTTATTTTTTAATGACTGTATTTCGCCCAGCTGGTATCTTTTTCAGCATGTGTTCAATCTGATTTTTTTGATCTGGTACGGTGTGTTATTCTAACTGTTCTGAAAGATTAAAATGCACTTTCACTTCTTAATGAAATACTGTGTGGATGGTAGCCTTGTCGTTAGAATTGTAGGGTTCAGGGTGCCACTACTTCCTGCAGGGGAACACATACCCTCCTGACCACTACCCACCAGGAAGGTATGTCCCGGGTGCAGGATTCCAGGTGTGTCTGCGATAAAGCAAGAAATGAGGCCTCGGGGACACTCGGCAGAATCAGCCCAGGGCCCGATGATGCCTAGGCCACATCAGACTCAAAAGTCCCCATGGAAGGAAATGACTTTGCTGGTGGTTTTCACCTTTGGGGACACTTCTGATATCAGGTCTTTGCTAGTGCCTAACAAACGGGGCAATTTCCCAGTGTTCAGGCAAAAGACACTTACACACTGAATCTTTCAAGAATCGTACCTATCGTATCAGCTGAATCTGGAGATTTGACAGGAGAGTATTAACAGCTTTCCCTTTGTCAGTTATTTTTGGTTATTTCCCCCTTAGGAAAATCATGTATTTAACCAAAATACCCAGATTTAGTGACGAATACACTAGCTATGCATACATTTTGAACAGTTTAAGGCCAAGTGTATGCTGCGATTTTGTCCTTTCTCCTCTCAGATTTATTTTCTGACCTTAAAATAATAACATGAAACAGGGGTTTTAAAAAACCCCACATTTTATAGAATTGTCAAAGATGAAAGCTTAATTCCATGCATTCTTCTGCAAATTTATTAATACAGTATTTCATTTTATCCTTTCTCACCATTTTTCACTCCTCAGAGAATGGCTTTCCTCTAACTTAGGATCTTTATTTTTGTTGTTCATGATTTGAAAGCATAAGCATGTAAAGGCACATGCACTGGGAAATGCACCTTTCACTGTACGCCCAAACACTCCGTCTTATTTCTGCTGCCTGGCAGCCAGACAGGTGGGAGATCTCTGGCAGTGCTGCCTGCTCACCCCTTTCACCTTCTGCCCACCTGGTCCCTACATCAGCCCCAGCAGGCAATGTGTGGCCCACTTTACCCACCTAGAAACCACAGCACAGACAGCCTAGGGTCTCTGCGTTAGCCAGGTGTAGCTGGAAGTGGACCCCAGCAGACGGACTTTAGACCTTCATGTGACCCCAAAGGAGTGTGGCTCACTTTAACCCAGGGTCGCCAACTGCCAGGCAAAGGCTCATGGTGTGTTAGGAGGTGAGCAACAGGCAGGCGAGGGGGCGCTTCATTGGTGTTTACAGCCGATCCCCATGGTCTTCCTCACAGCCTCCATCCAGATCAGCACTGGCTTCAGATTCTCACACATTCTTTAGGAGCAGGAAATGCCTCAGGATCTGAGGTGGAGCTGAGGCAGGGATGCTAGTGATGGGGAGCAGCTGCAGATAGAGATGAGCATGAGCAGAGAGGTCTGACAGCAACCAACAGGATTACAGAGTAGACTGGACACAGCAGCACACTCTGGGTGTCACTGTCTCCCATCAGTTCCAGAGGGGACCATCTAGGTGCAGAAAAAACAAGACCAGGGCTCCTACTGATTCTGCACTATGGTGAGTTGCATGATTATTTCATTATATTACAATGTAATAATAATAGAAATAAATGCACAATAAATGCAATGTGCTTGAATAATCCTAAAACCGCCCCCTCCTCTAATCTATGGAAAAACTGTTTTCCATGAAACCTGTCCCTAGTGCCAAAAGGGTTGGGACCATGCTCTAACTAACATATTTTAAGTACTGGTTTCTAAGGCTGTATTTGTCGTTACGGTTTTAAACATGTGTATGGAGTGGACAGAAAGGTTGGCACATTTTTTCTTTTAGGAAGGTTTAATTCATGACCTGACCTGGTGTACAGATATTTTTGTAGAGATTTCAAAAATGACAGAATATTAGAAACAGCCTTGTTCACTATAGTTTCAACAGGCAAGTGCAAATTCAATCTTGGGGAGTTTAAAAATCACAAGACCTGTGTCCTGCATCTTTTTATTATTGCTACTGGTGGTGTTTACTTGATCTTCACCCATATTTGAGAGTTGACTTTCAAACTAAAAGTTGTGTTTCTGATCATGTTATATGTCACCATGTGTGCAAAATCTATGCTCCTACTGAGCTAATCAGTGCATGAAGCCTCTGAGTGTGACACTTCATTACTCTGGTTTCAGGTTGACAGAATGTATAAATATGTAAACAGTATGACAGTTGTGATGTCATCACGTATCAATATGTGCTATCATATTGTGTTCTGGAATAAGTATGCGCCAGTTACTGTATCAGTATGTGACAGCATCATGTTATAATTTAATACATGTTATCTCCTGATTTCCTTTCAACTGCATCTCCCTGGTATGTCTCTCTCTCTCTCTCTATTTTGCTTTCTTAACCTCTTTATTTGTAGAGTGCCTTTAGAACAGGTGGCTATTCTGAACACCTGACCTCTTAGTCTGTGCCTTTTAATAGCAGTGACTAGCCTGTTTGCATTTACTGTGGTCACTGATACCGAAATCCTGTCCCAAACGCTATGTTCAAGGATAATTTCTGGCTGTGCTCCTTTCCTGGTTTATCTCATCTTTGCATGAAATGTGCCTTTGCTTCTGTGAGTACTCATCAAATACACTGCTAATGCAAGGCCACTCTTCTGAATACTGAGTCTGTTATAGGCCCCTCTGACCATGCAGAGGCGAAGGGTGGCCCCCTGCACCCAGTGCTGCTGCCACCACCCCACAGCCCTCATTAATTCCACCAGAGGGGGAAGACCAGGGCATTATTGCAAAAGAGTTGTTTTTCACAATGTGCACAATGTATTAAAAAGTGGTGCTGTGCATTTAATCTTCACTTTGTAGCCATAGCTACAGGAACTATTTATATCCAGCTCCTGCTCTTAATTGGTATCAATGGTGACCATTAATCTTCTTACGTGTGGCCTTTCCCATCTTTGGCTCCTGATTTTGATGTCTGTCTTCGTTGGCTTGAGTGCATCTTTTATTTTCCTTTTCGGAACAAGTATGTGGGTGGCATACTTTCTAAATCCTTGCAAATCTGCTCTGTTCCTTTTTACCAAAAAGAACTAGAAACAGGGCTGAATTCATAGGCAAAACTACTTTTCAATCAGATCCCTGGAGGGAGTTGTGCCCTCTCACCGAGTTCAGAGGACAGCCTGTGTCTGGGGGTTTGCAGATTCTCTCCTTCCACGCTCCACCTCTGCTGCACAGTGATCACACAGGTTTCCTTTATCCCTGACATCCAAAGTCGTCGCCATGAGATGCCGGGCCCAGGATGGCTGGGCTCTGCTTCTCACGGCTGCTCCCCTTCAGCTTGGCAGATGGGAGAAATTTCTCTCCCACACCATCTTCTAAGCCTATGCATAGCCTTCCCCTCCGCCATCCACCCACTCTGAGCACCCTCTGTGCTTAGCTTGGCCATCCACCCTCTGTCCTCTAAGCTCCCACCTTCGCTCTCTGTGTTCCACTTTTCTGCTGTCTCGTATGAATTATCTCTTGGTTTTAAGACTGGTATCACCACACTTCTTTGATTTTCAGCACCACAGTTCTGTCCAGTACATATTTAACCTCCAGTACATATTTACATTCCACTCTTGCATTTTCTGGATCCTCAAATTCACCCCCTATTTTCCTGGCAGATCTTTCTGGTCTGCCTTGCATCCGGGCTCCCCTCTGCCCTTGGTGCCTGCATTACCACAACCACCTCAGCCCCTGTGGGACTGAGAAGCAGTGTCTCTAGAGGCCACATCATCACTGTCAAGGGTTCTTTTCAGGGCCACAGACTCCTTCCCACAAGCAGTGCTCTTTTGTCTCAGGCTCCTGACTCAGTTTCAATTTTGATTCCTGGAATCCAGGAGGCTAGGAGGGCCGACTTCAGCCTCCCTCTCTGTCCTGTGGGTTGGGAAGGGCTGGCCTGGGAGCCTGGGCTAGGTAAGGCCCTTGTCTTCAGGGACACCCAATAGGTTTTCACCGGTAGGAGGAGCCACCGTGCTGGGCTCCCTGGCCATCAGGAGACCAGGGGACTGTTCACACTGGGGCAGCTCTTTAGGGCTTGAAGCAGGGGGAGGGATGGGGGGAAGAGACTAGGCCCAGGGGCAGGTCAGGAGGGACAGAGCACGTGACCCAGGCCTGTTCTACCCCTAACTCTGGTCTGGACCCCAACAGGCACTGCCTTCACCCCTGCCCTTCGCTACCCTGATGCCACCTCAGGGTAGAATCCAGGCACTGGGAAGGCTGCTGAGGACCTCTGCAGCACCAGGAATACCCTCCCCACATGCCCTAAAGGACATGGCAGGCTCAGTCCCCCACTTCCCACTAGGTCAGCTTCCTTGAATTTCAGCCATTTGCCATTTATGTATTTCAAATGATTCAAAGAACAGCTACTTTAAGGAAAATTGAGACTAATGCACCACAATTACTGTAAATAGAGACCAGCCTATAATGTCGCCCATTACTAAAAGTGCCCGAAGAAATAATGTGGGCTTGGCCAAACCAATCTTTTTGTTTCTGGGCTCATTTCTGCAGAGAAAATGAAGAATGTCACTGCTTACAATATGCGCTGATGTGGTGCTGGCCATATATGTTTTTGTTTACACACCGAATCTATTAAAATGTCCGGCTATTATTGTGGTGATGAATAGCAGTGATTCAAAAGAACACAAAACAGATTGCAGACAGGGATCAGAGCAATGACTTGGTATTTTTCATTGTTTGTGCCGAACAAAGATTAGTTGGGGTGTGGGTCCTGAGCTCCTGGGGGCGCAGCACCCTTAGCCTGCCTCGTCTCTCCTGTGGCTTTCTAATCCTCAGTCACTTTGCCCTTGGGATGTCACGTTCTGAGACAGTCTGGATCGATGTGCAGTACCAGGTTACGGGCACAGCGCCAACTCTGCTCCTCTGGGGGTGAGAAGGGACAGTCCTCCCCCTGCCACCTGGGATGGTCTCCGTGGGTGGTTCCTCCCTGTGTGGATCTTCTCCCTCACAAGCTGCCATTGCTCCTGGCCAGAGCGCTCTTTGGTGGACAGGAAGTGTCCTGCTTATCCTAGGAATGGCTTTCTGTGGGCCTCAGACCTGGGTCCCCTCATCAGGTCCTGGAGGACAGGGAGGAGGGCAGGTATGGGGAATCCTGGTCCCTGGATGTGTGTTCAGGCCAGGCCAGTATCTTGGGGGCCACAACTACCTCCCTCCCCACAAGGGTTCACACAAGGAATCCCCAGGTGAGCATCCACTGGTCCACATGAGGCAGATTCCTTGCCCTCCCCTTCTCAGGCAGGTGCACAGCGAGCTGCACCATGCCCTCTGGGGCCACTGCCCACTCGGGGCAGGGTTGTCACCCCACAAGCTGCCTGGAGATGGTCCCAGGGGGCTCCTTCCTGCCTGGCTCCTCCTTGGGTTCTGAAGAACTTCTAGAGCTCAGCTCTGGCATCTGTGTCCCTCTGTGTACCTGCCCTGTGTGATGGAGGAGGCCCTGTGTCTATTTTGGGTTCCCAGGCAGAGGCTGGTGTAAGGTGACCGGATTGGCTCCTCAGGCACCTGGACATCTTGGAGCCCACTCTTGTGCTCTGCCACTGTCTCCCAGCTCCAGATGACTTCCTAGAAGGCCCGGGGGCCAGCTCAGAAGACGTCTGCTCACAAGCCGTGCTGGCTCAAATGACACAGAGGAAGTGGCTCAGGGGAGCCCCATGGTGGGACTGGAGCCTGGGGTGAGGGGCTGGGTGTTCCCTATCTCCTTTTGGGGCTGCAAACTGGCTGCTGCCCACTGTAACTGGGGTGATAGCCAGAGTGGTGGGGAGTCTGCCTGGGGTCTAGCACCTGCCTAGTAGGACAGGGAATGTCTCAGAGATCTTCAAAGACTTAAAGGAGAGAAGGACTTTGGGCTGGGGGTGGCAGGTTCCAGTCCTTGCTCAGTGAGTGCTGGTCCACCTCATTCAGGCCAGAATCTGCTGCCTCTCACTGGTTTTCAGGGAAAGTGGGCCTGCAGCAGAGACTCACTGGGGTCTGTAACAAAGGCTCCTGATGGCAGGGGCACCTCATTGAGTGCAGAGACTGCATGAGTCGGCAGGAATCACAGCTGGCTCTGGGCTCATCAAGTGAACCAGGGCTGTGCTTCCTCCATACTGGGAACAGAGCCGCTGCTCCAAACCCTTAGGCGGCAGGCAGAGGGCAGACCCAGAGTGGGCACAGGGCATGCCAAGGCGGGTCGGAGGGGCCTGCCTCAAGGTAGAGGGGAACAGGAAGCAGCCTTGGTGAGAGCAGGCCTGGAGATGCTGTACCAGGTCCAGGGAGGAGGTGACAAATTGCACCCATATCCCCAAAGTCCAGAACACCAAGGGGAGGGAGTTCCTTGTCGCCACGCACAGGAAATAGGCTACAGAAGTT